TATATATGCATATATATTATATGTATTTAGGCATATATTCCATGTTCCTTCTGTCTGGGAGTCCTGTTTGGAACCTTTTTTCTATATTTAATCGGTCACTTTTAAGCACAAAGGGGCTATCCCGAAAAATACTGTTTTGAGAAAATGGAAGGTATTGTTTTTTCCCCTTGTTCAGATTCTAAAAAAAACAACCGAGGAGAGTTTTTCTATAACAATAACAACAACAAAAAAAAAACATTCCCATGAAACCAAACTTCTCCTATAGGTAAGGCAAAGCCCACATTTGGTGTAGGTCAAGAATTCTAGAAACCCCGAACCCTGGGTTAGCCGGCTTGTACTTAAAAGCGACAAATTTAAAACGAAAATAGAAATCGAGAAGAATGTTCAATCCATATAAAATACCAGGTGATACGCCTACTGCCCATGCACAGAGGTTTTGACATTTCAACGCACAGTTGTGTATCTTCCCTCTCTTCCTCCCTCATCACCCGTCCTCGTTTTGTGTTTTACAGTTGTGTGTTATGCAGTTTCCTTTGTTAAAAATGTGCCGTCTTATGCAAAATAACCTAACACATAAACCCCCCCTACTAATAAAAAAAAGCAATAAGAGAGTCGTGCATGCTCTGGTGACTGGTACATTACACATACACTTTAACAGCCGCAGGTTTTGTCTCTAGAAGTATATAGCCAGCTGTAATATCATAGTATAATCAGTTAAAAATATAAGCTGAAGACTAAAATTCCCATCTGAATTAGGCCTAACACATTTAGCTTCATCAATTCATATTCAAGCCGATCCTCTTTTCAGAAATAAATCAGGAGTGAAGGTAAGTTTTACCCTATGTACAAAAAGTGTAAATATTCTCATCCAACGTGTGTGTTTTTCGTTTAAAAAAAAATAAAAAAAATTGATGATGATGATGATGATGATGATGATGATGATGATGATGATGATGATGATGATGATGATGATGATGATGATGATGATGAAGATGATGATAATGATCGTGATGGTGGTGGTGATGTTTGTGGTGATGATTCATTTACGGTGGTAAGTCATATTTCACTGTAAACTTCTAAAATATTGGTAAGATTTCCTATATCTCAAAAGTGATGAAAATGAAAATGATAATCCGTTTTATCCATTAATTTAAGCATAACGCCCACCTGGTTGGTCATGGTGTTTGATTTCCCCCAGATTCACAAGTAACTGCTTGAACCAACATATTTTGATATCAAATAATGAAATGACAATTGAATGTTATGCTATAGAACCTTTTTACTCGTCAGAGTGTTTTCCCTTTGTTTGATATAAAATATGGCATCGTGATCATCAAACGAGAGCCATAAGAATGAACCTCCAAATGAAAGGTAAGCCTAAAAGTACACTTTTGCATACTTTGCAAAGTCTTTCTACATTTTTTAAATTTTCAAACAATTCCTTTTACGTTTCATTATGTATATTGTCTCATGAACTTTTGTTTCCTGGTTCAAAATCACGTTTTTCATGATGTGGTGTGCCGTCCAATTAGTTTGGCACCATGTACGAATCGGAACATCAACATTTTATATAAACGAAGTACAAATATGTTTGGTTATAGTAACAGTTTTCACTTTCATTGGTGTCATCCTATAAACCAAATTGTTAGTCAGGTATTAATATATTGATTACAAGTGTAATCCTTTCTGTTTATTCTAAAATGTATTTAGCGTTTAATCTTTAAAAGGACAAGAACGATTTTATGGTTGGTGCGCAGTTGTGGACGTGTGCATTTATTATTTATTGTGATCAATTAGAAGCTTTAAAAAAAATCCTAACTAAACTAAGATTTGTGAAATAGATTTATGCTCGCCGATTTACACATACGGATTGGAATTCTGGTACCAACCCCGTTATTATTTTGTGAAGTTTCCTGTGGTTGTAGAAGAAATGAAATTGTTATAATGTTGTCTTGAGCTGATAATACTAAAGGGAAGTTAATCAAAGTAGTCTGGTTTTCGTAATTCCTTAAAAAATATTTAACATATTTGTTACCTTATTTCCCTCTGCAGATTATGCACAGTAAATGCGGTGATACATGTGCACCAAAATGAGGGCAACAATTAGTTAAATCCTGCAGACATGATAAATATCTCCCGCCACCGAACAACCAAAATGGAGAGACAGATGAAGAAAGTGCCGATTAAAATGATGACCCTTCAATTGAAATCCTCACTGCTCGACAACTGAATGCTCAATGTTCTTCAACCTCATACACATTCTATGGTGTTCTCTCTTTTTGGAGAAAGATAGTGATCACATCTGCTAAGATATTAATTCTAAAACCGACGATTTTTAAGATAAACCTGAAGAAGAGAAATGTGTAAAAGATATGGACCTTGTTTAAGTTGTTTCCTAATGGTAATGTAATATCCCACAAGCACAACGTGCCATAACACAGTGCAACATATTGATTGGAGGAACTGATTGTATGGACCAGAACTTTGCTAATTACGGGACCGACATCCACATGAAAAAATGGCAGTAGCTATTTTTCGTCTTAAGCTTGATGACAATATCAGCTAGCAAGGCATTGATCCTGTACAGACGACCAACACAGATGGCTGAGGTTTAGCCGATAGATGCTTTGCTGTCGCACGCACAACAATGAGAGCTTGATTTCCGTGTGGGAGAATGTGTATAGAGTATCAGGGTCTTTATACTGGGACGTTGTGAGTCTCTCAGCCCAGGATGGCTGTCCCTGGAAGGATAATGCGCGCTTCCTAACTGACTTAAACTGTGTGTATAGGAGCACAAATGGCCCAGATACAGGATAAATAATCAAATACAGGAAGGCCACCCGTATGCATTCTATTACATGAAGAATTGAAAGAACAGTTGGATCTGAAGTAAAGAAGGATGCAAAAATGCCTTTTTTAAATTTCTGCCAACTCTGGGAAGATGCAGATTGTCCAAGAGTAATACCAAGAAAGTCTAAAAAGGAATGCGACTCGTACCCCTCCTTCCCTCTGCATGCAAAAAAGCTTTTCGGCACTTCGTCGCCGGTGAACATCATAATTTTTCATTTCCCGATTTTGAAATAAGCTTTGCATTCATTTTGATACAAAACATAATTATCGTTGATGTTTGGAGATAATAAAATGCTATGAAATTTCATAGATTGTTATTGTTTACATTTATGCCAGTTTGCTGCGTTCATATTTTCACGTACCCAGTCGTGCTTAACGCCCAACAAGTTGACCAAAATTTAATATGTCACTGATAACAAAATATATATTTTGAAGAAAAAACAGCAACTTATGGACCCTTTCATTTCAACGAGAAAAGGAAGCTTATGTGAAAGTAAGAACAAAATTTAAGACCTTATGCACTACTGGGTTAAATCACGAATTTTAGTCTTAGAAATAAGAACATTAAAATTTGTTCTGCTTTGAGGGGATTCAGAAGTTTTATAAGAATTGTCGGATAATGAGGTAATTATATTCTGATCGCCGTGAGACACATTGCCTTTTTGTCCCAGGTACCCACTATGTCTTCTTCTCACGGGGTCACTGAGGAATCGAAAAAGTACATCGCAGAGGCGTACAAGGAGGGCAGTTACCCAGAGAAGACGGCAACGTTCTATGACAGTTGGGTTAAAGACGACACTTATGATCAGGTAACATTGAATGCACCGTTAGCTTTGTTGGTATCATATTGGTCTCTAGATGGGATATTAATGTTCAAATCAACAGGGAGCTCTGGATATATTTTTGGCTCTCCAAGATTTGTCCTGGTCCTGTCTGTGATGGACGATAAATCTCGTGGACCTGCCTCTTTAAAAAGTTTGAATTATCTAATGGGAGATTGGGGGGGGGGCAAACAATTGATCGCAATTCTATGTTTAAAAATGTTAACTTTATAAGTTAACATGTTAAAGGACCCACAAAACGATTACATGGAATCATATGTGATACGATCAACTTTGATAATGTTGCTCTGATAGCTTAAAGTTTACCCACGTCATTGATCTGTTTTACAAGATTTTGATGCTTTCATTTCAAACCTAGCCCATTTTCGCCCCCCCCCCCTCTTTCTCCCTGTCTCTCTCCCCTCTCTCTCTCTCTCTCTCTCTCACTCTCTCTCTCTCTCACTCCCTCTCTCTCTCTCTCTCTCTCTCTCTCTCTCTCTCTCTCTCTCTCCTCTCTCTCTCTTTCCGTTTTCTCTCTCTTCCTAACGCTCATACGCCCGTAGCCTCAGGCCTTTTTTAAAGCGAGATACCTGTTGTTTTATTTTGGTTATCAGGAGGAACGGCCTTTGAATACTAATATTCCACGAAAGACAAAAATATTACAACGCTATTCTGTGTAGAAAAATTGGTCCTGCTTTCTGTTATACATGCATACGTCTCAAATAACTTTTCGTTGAAAGTGTGAGATTTAAGTTCAATTAAAGGGTGTTTAAAAAAGAACTGTCTCTAAGGACAATAACTTGGTCATCAGTGAAATAATATAAAACGAAAGCTCCAAAAAAAAAATATTAAAAAAAAATCAACCATAAAAATATCAGGTGTAATATGCAGAAAATCCACTAACTCTTTCTAGAAATATCAAGTTTTTGAAATTCCTCCGAAAATTTGGTAAAATGCAGAATTACACTTAAAAAGCGTGATAGACCCGTTCTGATTTCAGGGTAAAGATGGTAAAACCATGAAATTCGCTCTAGATGTATAATTCTCACCGTGCTGGGAAAGTTTTGGAGAAGTTTGGGAAGGAAAAAGTGTTATGCTTTAGAGGTTCGGTTCCTGTGGGATGGGGCCACCCCCTAAACGTCGAGAATGGCCCTTGTATCGTTGCAAGAAAGGTTTGGGGAACGTCTTATACGAGGGGCATACACATTTTTTTTACCTGACCATGACAGGATAAAGGTAGAAAGCTGAAATTTGGAGTGAAAGCCAACAATTATCTTTCTAGAATGCATATAAATTTTTGGAAATTTACAATCACTGGTTTTAACACCAGCGCCCTGTAAGTGAATGGGGGTATGTTGATCTCCAGTTTCAACATAAAAATGAAGAAAATTTAACACAGGGCAGTAATGAAGTATTTGTTCTTGCAGGGCGATGCATGCTGTATATGGAACTGATTGCACATCCTATGCGGTGATAAAATTTTGGTGTAAAAAATTACAAAGCAGATTCATGGACATTGAAGATGACCTCCGTGATAGTCGCCCAGTGACACCAACAACAGAATAACATGTGTTGAAAATCAAGAAACTTATGTTTTCTGATACGCTGGTCACAGTCGAACGTTTGAGCAAAGAAACTAGGCTTAGCATGGGATCACTTGAACAAATCTTAAAAGAACTTTTGAATATGACTAAGGTTTCTTAGAGATGGGTCCCACGTTTGCTGACTCTTCCTTGAAAAGTGCAACGTGTGGATTGTGGTCAATGATTGCTTTGTCTGTATGAAAATGAAGAAGCAAACATTTTTTGAACGACTTGTAATTATGGATGAGACATGGGTCCACCACTACAATTCTGAGTCAAAACGTGCATCAATGCAGTGGAAGTCACCCATGTCTCCAACACCAAAGAAGACACTGGTGCAGTCATCAAGCGGAAAAGTGATGCTAACCGTTATTTGTTGGACCAAGAAGGAGTGAATATGACAGACTATCTTGAAAATTGACATACTATTGCAAGAGACCATTTTTCTAATCAGCTAAAAAAACCTATGAGATACTATAAAAGAAAAACGCAGACGAAACGCAGAGGAACGATCGGAAAAGGCATTTGGGTTGCTTAACGACAACGCGCTAGCACACACTTTAAGACAAGCTGCAGAAACTGCGCGAAAAAGTGGTTATGACATTTTGCCACATCCACCCTATTTTTCAGATTTAGCCCCCTTCCAACTTTCTTTTATTCTCCAAACTGAAAAAAAAAGATTCAAAAGGAAGGAATTTTGAAAGTGATGATGATGTCAAAGAAGCTGTAGAGGGCTGGTTTTCTGACAAAAAGATGGTTATCTATTGTCAAGGTCTTTTCAAGATCATACACTCATGGAAAAATGTATAACTGTGAGTAGCGACTATAATAGAAGGAGATAAAGGTTGGTACCAAATTTGTTTTCTATCGTTATTTCTTCTTGATCAGGTAAAAAACGGTTGGTATGCCCCCCGTAAGTCGAAACATTACAAACGGATGCTGCCACATTCCCTCTAAACTTGAGCTCTTTTATTATTCTTACCATTGTGTTCTTTTGACGGACAGAGTCCACAGAAACAAGCTACACACAATCAAACAGTTGAAATTTAATATTAAACAGAACGTCCCAAAAATCGACGCAGAATTATGTCACATGGTCTTTTAAAAGTTCGAGTGGCGTATTGGAGCTTGTATGGAGAGAAATAGCAAACACTTTGAAATCAACTTTCATTCAGGGTTTATTTGGCAATGCAATATTTGTATACGGTTGTTCTTCGGTGCAGAAATTGTGGTGATGTTTTGAAATAAAACAATATGGTTAACTTTTCAGAATTGGCAGTTTTGCGCTTTATACAATTTTGGTTGAACATTTAAAAACTTGATAACTTTCTTGCATTTTGATTGATTTTTTTCAAATTAAAAATATTATTATCACCCTGGTTGTTATTTCTACTCAGGTTTGCTGGAATTAGTCAATCGATGAGCGAGAGATTTCCCATTAAACGGGTTCTCTTTTTCGGACAGCCGACGGTTTAAGGTTCGTCAGTAAAGGTCATACCCGATACTAGAACAGGGGATCATAAGTCAAACCTCACAGAACAATTTAAGTTTTGTTGTTTTATCAACTTGGAGGCTTCTCACTCGTGTTGAACGGTCCTGAAACCTCTACAACTTTATTTATTCACTCTCCGAGTAGCACCATTTATGTCACATTATGAAGCTGTGCTCAGAAACAAGGAACATTATCGCGCATAAGTGGCCCCTCATTATGAGAGGAAGGGGGTACTCCCTGTTTAAGAGGAAGCTGGTACTACTCTCCTGATCACAGTGCTTAATTCATTGTTTTATTGAATGAATTACAAATTGCTCCCCCCCCCCCGAGAAAAAGGATTAAAAAACAAAAAAACAAAAAAACAACCCAAAAACAAAAACCCTAACATCAAAAGAACTGCAGGGGCAGTCTGATCCATTTTAATTTATCCCTGTCAGTTGAACTTTATTACTATCAGCAATATACTTTAATTGCAGGCATACTTACATAAAACAGTTAACAAAAAATGCTAATGTTTCTAGATATGCTAAATTGACTTCTAAATTCATTTTAGAAGGCTCGTTTTATTGTAACAGCAACCCTTTTTGTTCAGTGTCGAGGTAACTTAATTATCTCTACAGCTAAAAGAACTTTAAAAAAATAATATAATTAAATATTCATGCAAACGATTTACGCATGAAAACGTGTTTCGCTTTTCCCTATTGACAAAAGGCTTGGTTTATATCCGGAATGCTGTGGGTTACTACGTAATAGGTTTTACAGTTGTGAGCCAAAAATTTGTTCAAACAGATATTCCAGCCTTGGTATGGGTGGAGCCCCGTTTACCATTCCCTACTGACAAAGTGCCAATGATGTTGTGTTAAATTTGCGCTGCCAGTTTTAGGATGGACGGCAGAAAATATGGTAGAATGATTTTACAAGTATAAAAAGTAGAATATAATAGTGAAATGTTAATTTATGAAATGCGAGAACGAATATCCATAGGGTGAGTCCACATTACAAGCGATAGTTGTAGCTAGCGTGAAGCAAACGAAGGATGATAAACTTGGGGCTGGCTATACAATGAACTGGTTTTCTTAAGCGGTAATTGGAAAAAAAGTGGCAAGCTAGCGGGAAACATTTGATATGTAATGTCACACTGTTACTGTATTAATAGGATGCTTGTAATTTGTCTTTCCGTTTGAGTTGAAGTAGTCTTTTAAAATTTGTTCCATTGAATTGTTTCATTACTACAAACAGCAACTTCATTCCCATCACTTATAATGCACCGTTCCAACAGCCTCCGGTCTATATATTTTGTCAATACATGTAGCATCACTTTTTCACATTCCAATCACTTGGCGTTGTTTAGGAATTCTACGTCTCAAAATAGTGCGATGTTCACTGCTTATGCTAATACTACTGCTGCTGCTGCTGCTGCTGCAACTACCACGTCTACTACTACTACTACTACTACTACTACTACTACTACTACTACTACTACTACTATCACTACTACTACTACTACTACTACTACTACTACTATCACTACTACTATCACTACCACTATCACTACCACTACTGCAGCCTGCACTGGTCTATTTGGTTTGTATAGGTTTTCAAGGTTGGCATTTCAAAGTACTTTTTTCACTCCCATTTTATTCTTCAATTATAAGAAGGTTAAAAAAAATGTAGGTAAATAATTATAAAAATTCCGGTAAGTCGGATTTCACTTACAAGTTCTTCACAGTAAACTTTGTTTTTCGTCTTCTATCGTTTCTGTTAAAAAAGTTTTGACGGTATACATTTTTTCCAAAGAAAAGGATTTTCTTGCACAAAAGAAACACAAATTCGTCTGTTTTGTTGACTTACAAACTAGAGGTATTATCATGATTAAATTTGTAAAAGGTTTGAATTGCGATGTCAGTTGAAATTGAACTTTTATCTTGAACTGATAGGTGATTGTAGAAAATAGTTAGATGAAAAGATGAGATTAGAGAACAGCACAAGCCATTCCTATCAGGAAGCAATAAAACACACATGGCTCTACGACCGGCAATGATAGGACAGAGTTGGAAGCTAGAAAAAACACAGCGTAATGTATAGTTAATTATCGTTCAAATGTAGCGAGACTCGCTCTGGAACAGTTCATAGTATGGCCATTCAAAGAAAATAATATGTATTATGTTTACTTTTCTCGTTCCCGCCCATTCCTGGTCTCTCGATCGTAATGTGGCCGCATCCTTAAGACTAATGTTCTCACCAAAAGGTTTGAGCTTTGCCGAAGCTGCTCTGAAGTTGAGGCGCGAAAGCAGGTACTCTTTATCTATCCCAAGGCGCTCTCAAGGTTAAGTAGTTATTGTGTTGGCCTCTCAATAATTGTGTCCCTGGTTCAAAACCTGGTCCCTGGTTCAAAACCTGACATTAAATTTGTCTTCTCCCCCCCCCCCCCCCAGGTTTTTTGCTCTTTAACCATATTTGGACGGCTGCTTTGTCCCCACCTTTTTGGACAAGGGCCAAAAATCTCGGAGTTCTAGCGTGCAAGTTGCGCACGTTAAAGGTCCCTTGGTGGTCCAAAGTTGATAAAAGTAGGCTTAGTCCGTCACCCAAGGAAATTCACTATTTATTCCATCCAAACTCAAAAAAGGTTTAATGTGTCTCGCGCTCTTATATATGACTGCATGCAGTTGTGAGCGCCGTAAATCACGCACCAAGCAAACAACTGTTCCCACAATCAGCGGCACCCTCACGACACAGGTTTGGCACCGCAAAATTCGAGATGCGATTAATGATAAATGGTTGCTTTTAAAGACAAGCGGGCTAAACCAGATTTCGGGGTTTTCCAGAAATCTTGACCTACACCAAAAGTGGGCATTGCCCTACCTATAGGAGAAATTTGGTTTCAATGGTGTGTGTATTTGTTTGGTTTTATATAGAAAACTCTCTTTACGTTTTAAAGAAACTGAACAAGGCCAAAAACTTTACCTTCGATTTTCTCAAAACAGTATTTTTCGGGATAGCCCCATTGTGCTTAAAAACAACCAAATATCTTCGTATTTAGGCGGCCTTCAGACCAAAAGCTACAAACCGAGCCAAGCCTGAAAGTGTTAACTTCAAGCGCTGTCGAACAGAATACACCCTCAGATCAAAAGCAACTGCAGATTTTGAAGAGTTTTTTTTTTAACTACATAAACAAAAGCGTCTATAACGGACACTGATTACACCATCCCTTTTGTCATGTTCCTACGTCTAAATTATTCCCAAGAATTATAACCTATAAATGTTATTGAAAATTTTGATCTGGTATCCACAGCACCTGAACCAAAACATTTACCATGGCCCCAAGATAGCTGCCCAGGCTGTCGCCGACTTCTTTCCTTCATCAAAACGTGGGGACGTTCGCATTCTAGATGTCGCTGCTGGCACTGGTTTTGTTGCTGAACACGTGAGTGGTGTAGACAATGACAATGAAACAGTTAATAGCAAACAGATTTTTTCATAAATTGGACAGAAAGATATTTGTTGCATCCTCTCAGTGGTAAGCATGCACACAAACACAACACCATTTACACATTAACTGATACATACAGACATTCTAAAACTTGTACAAAGGACCTCTCCGGTATAATATGTACCACATCTAAGATGACACAATAAGCTAACTTAAGGCACAGGTAAGAGGACTGCTGTTTTAAATAGAGAAATATATTATGATTTCTGATTTTGTCAGGGTTTTTTGGTTGTTGTTGTTTTGTGGTGCAAATATGTGATATGGTCAAGTGTTTAATTTGTTTTGTTAATAATCTTCACGCCTTAGTGGTACTTAGACAATAAATTAGACAATATTTACGTGCTCCCATGTCATATCTCATCTACAGCTGAGGAACCTGGGGTTTGAGCATATCGATGCCTTGGATCCTAGTGAAGGAATGCTAGAAAAAGCTCGTGAGAAGAGACTATACGATAACTACATCTGCGCTTTCCTGGATAGAAACAAGTTACCTCTTCTTGAAGGTGAGACGTTCCATCAAAAGTGAAGTTACATAATATACATCTTTCTGGAACCTTGGTATGGCCCTATATATTTGACGAACAGTTTGTAAATCTTGTAGGAATCTTAAAAGGATCAGATGACAGGGGTCTTTTTAGACTTGAACATGTTTCTGCGCCATTGTGTTCATGCTGAAGATTTTTTTCTTGTACCATTTCTACACATGATGCCAAAATGTTCATCTATAATTTGTGTGGTCTATTCTGGCTTTGATCTTCTCCAAAATTATTTCAAAATGTTAGCATTTTATTTTTTGCATTTGACATTAGACTGATGGCCCTATAGTCTGACCTCGATTGAAGTAGTTCTTTTGTTATTATGTCCTAATTCATTGATTTCAATGAAAAAGTTTGCCGTAGAGTTTAATGACAAATTCATCTAAGTACTGCATCATTACTATGTTTGCTCATCTTTGGCGAGGGACTCTTTTTTTCGGATGGTTGTCTACTCCACATTTGGTGCTGATGCTGACGTTGTCCCAATGTAACGTCAATCATTGTGTTGCAAGATTTTCGTTTTTCTTCTCTTTTGTTACATTGTTTTGTTTTTCAGAACAGTCTATCAGTTGTTCAACTTCCACTTGGTCAGCCCTGGTTTTCCTTTTATTTTCTTCAGTTCTCCACAGTCAATGTAATTGTTTTGTTTTCATCGTTTTTTCTTGAAATTCTTCAGTTTTTATGGTCACTTTAGCTGTGATGGAATTGTGAATGAAGATTTTATTAGCGCCTTTCTTTGTCTTACATTGTCTAATGCGCTTTCTATTTCTTAAAAAAATAAATAATGATTTCATCAAGTTGGTAACAGTCAACATCTGCAGGTAGTCTGTTTGCTAGTTGTTGTTAGTGTGCGTTTGTTTACCTCACACAAGTTAGGAATCTTTCCCTTCGTTTGTTTCTTTCTCCTAACTCATAGTTAATAGTGATGTCTTGAGTTTGTCCCTTTCTTACCTTAGAATTTAGGTTTACAATTATGACAAGTGTTTTATTGGATTCTATTTCTTTCAGGATCTTATTTATTTATTCTTCGTAGTGTACTTTTATTTGTTCATCTTCGAAAGTGGACGTTGGAGCAGAAGTACTGTGATATAAAATGATTCATCCTCAATTTCAGTAGAATGTTTCTTTCGCCCACCGGCTAATATCATATTATTATCTGTTTCTCAAGCTTCACTTTCAGCCACCCCTTATTAGTACTCCATCCACGTCCCACCTCGTCTCTGATCTTCTCCGACTGTCTGTAATAGTCTCACATAAAAAAAATGATCCGATTGTTTAAATTATTCGGTTTGTACAGGCCCATGACATTCCATGCACCAGAGTTAAAGTTTAAACATTTTCCTCTATTTTTGGACACGACTACTGTCTGACATCAGCCTTCTCAAGGGAATTTGGTTGGCTGTCGCCATTATAGGCCCCCTCAGTTATACGTAGTACTAGTTTCTTCCCCGTTCGTATTTAAAACGGGCATCGCACTGGCAGGAGGCTCCAAAGTTATTGTATATCCATTTCTTCTTCTTATTTCTGCAGCCAAGATAAGATAAGATAAGATAAGATAAGATAAGATAAGATAAGATAAGATAAGATAAGATAAGATAAGATAAGATCAGATAAGACAAGAAAAGACAATACTTTATTATCCCTTTGGGAAATTTTTCTTAGCTGTACAGGACAGTAAAGAAACATGCAGGTATACATAAAAAATTAAATTATACATTACTCTCATTAAAATTCATTATAAATTTTTAATGAATCATCCTTGGTATATTCCCTACCTTTTCCATAGTGGACGCAAACCATCGTCTTTTGGTTCTTATCGTACCCGTATGCACCAAGCACCTTGCTATCTTGCGTCAGGACGATTCATAATCCATCATTTGTTGTACTGTAACATCAGCTCAATGCACCACTACAGACTTAATTGCTAAGGTGGGCTACCCGTGCGCCCTTTACTGGTGTATTCCTTTTGTCAGTTCCCTCCCCTGGCTACCTGACCGGCCTGGATGAACCTATCAGGCACACAAGCCCTCTTTAATATTATCACAGTATTGTGGGGCAGCAGCCAAATCCATACAAAGATATGAAAGTGTTTGGTTTTTTTCTTCTCATTATTAAGAAAATAACATTCTGTCACATTGCAGATTTGACTCTAAACAGTTTTTGGCAACTCAAACGTGCGCCGTCTAATACAAACGAAGTGTAAGCACACACACACACCCCTCGCAGTCCAAAAAAAAAGAGTTCAAGTCTATGCGGTGGCAGGCAGTGACTGTAGTAATTCTTGTGTGACATTTAGTCACAATAAGTGCACAAGATGTGAACTGACTTCAACTTGATTTAATTAAGAAGGAAACTTTTTTGCTTCGTTATCATTCACTTGTATCGTCAGATGTTGACGGGAGATGCAACAATCGATCAAGGGCTTATTTGGAAGGGTAGAGATGTGTGTGTGTGTGTGTGTGTGTGTTAGAGAGAGAGAGAGAGAGAGAGAGAGAGAGAGAGAGAGAGAGAGAGAGAGAGAGAGAGAGAGAGAGAGAGAGAGAGAGAGAGAGAGAGAAGGGGGGTTGATTCTGTTGTAGGCTATATACGACACGTAATTAAAAACGCAATACTTTATTGGCAGTGTTCTCGTGTTAACAACTTCCCTTTGCACAGATTTTCTTGTCATTGGCTTTCAAATGGATGTAAGCCCAATTAATGATCTGTGGTCAGCAATTGTGAAGTAATTTGGTATCGGTCTGGAGTCTTTGATTCTCTTCACTTTATGTTTTTTAGCTATTTATTATAGTCACAATGATATCAGCAATTCCCATTGCTTCTTTTTTCCTTGCCTCCATTAATTCAACTAACTACCCGTGGATCTTTGCTTTTAAGTCAGCAAATATACTCTGTTCTTGGTCCAGCAGCTCGAAGTCATTTTACTATTCAATCCGTTTTCCGCTTTAGTATATCTGTTTATTTAAACTCCTTTCTTTGATTTTTTAAAAACCAGTAATTAATCCATTTCAGGCTTTTTAGGACATTTGTAACGTAACTAGAACCTTGCTTGTCAGAACATTAAATTCGGGATGACTCCGGTAGGCCTTCTTAGCCTGCTTAGGGGGCCAGTGGTATAGTACCACGCTATACATTGCACAAATCTGGTAACCACCAACTTTGATCCGTTATTTGCTTCTAGGGGTTGGTTTTATAATGGATATTAATTAATATTTGGTTTGTTATAACCTTTTTGCAACTTCGTGACATTTAATCTATCTTTCAATATATCAGACACTTACGACTGTGCTGTATCATCCGGAGGCATGGGTGAAGGACACATTCCTTACAATAGTCTGGATCAGCTCATCAGGGTTGTAAAACCAGGTAAACGTTTATCACACTATCACATTTTTGTATATACATTTCCTGAGTTGCGGGGTCATGTACTTAATTTGTAAGTTGAGAGGTGTGATCTAACAATACTAAATTTGATGTGTTTTGTTTTTATTTTTAAAAAATGATTTACTGTTTTCCTGTACTTCAAATTAAGTTAACATGGAAAACAAAGTTGAGAAACTGAGGCACAAAATAAAAAGACAGCAAATTTAGTGGTGGTATGATTATCTGTATATCATTCTTATATTATCTGTATATCATTCTTATTGTGTGTAAATGCAAAGGATGCGTATTTTATTATAACTCTTTTTTATAACATTTTTATATATTTCATTCTTCATGGAGTTCGTATTACTTCTTATAATACTCATGACTAGTTTAATATGTTGCTTTTCCTTCATTTGACGTATGGATCCCTTTGATGCACTCCATTTTCTTTAATGGTATGAACTGTATGAAGTAACAGCAATTCACCGTTGGTGTACAAACTCCACAGGCGGACTCGTGTGTATAGTGATGAGAGAAGAGTACCTGAACCACAGCCAGTACAAGGACCTTCTGGAGCCGCACATGTCTCGTCTGGAGAAAGAAGGATATTGGCATCTAGTGTCTAGGGATGTGGTGGAGAATTACTGTTTGGATCTCAACGGCCTTGTGTACAATTACAAAGTTATGCCCAATGGGATTAAACGCGAGTAAATCATTTTGTTTGTATGGAAATTTTACTTATTTCACGTCATTACCTAAAGAAACTAAGTGAAATGACGTAGATCCAAGGAACATAGAACAAGAAGGACGAAATACAATACTTTAATGTACAATCTTAATGAAACTGAATAATAAGGTTTTTATGACCTTAATAATCCTGTATGAAAGTGTTATTCACGATGTTTTTTCATTCTTTAAAAACTTTAGTATTTTTTTTTTACTTGCCAATTTCAATCAACTGGAGCTTTTGTGTTTAGTGGTAACTACAAAATGTGCTGCATTTTGGATTTTAAAATTAATTGTTAGTATTAGTGTAAACACAATGGACAAATGTTAAATCTATGTGAGTGTGAAGTGGGTCCACAAGGTACACATTTCATGATTTTGCTTTTGGTGCAGATGCAAAGAGGACATAATTTCCCTTCATATTACATCAATATGAAATGAATGCGATAATATTTAAAATTTAAAATATGAAGCTCAATTCAATTTTGAAATGGTCCACTGTTTGCAGCAGTCCGAGGCAAAATTTTTATTCCTAAAGATTTGACAAAATATGCCATATGCAATGGGCATCTTGTAACAAAACTATGTCCATAAAATTTGGCACACATATTAAATGTTTCAATGTCAATAAATACATACATTTTTCAGATAATTTACATTATGGTTTTGTTTCTACTATGTTTTCCCAGGAGCACCAGAGCGTAAGCAAAAAAACAACAAACAAACAAAAGACAAATTAAAAAATAGGGGAAAAGCTTTTAGTAATCAAACGTCAACATGTCAATATTTGAGTATTGAAATACACAATAATCACAAATGAAATACGGAATGTACAACAGTTGGATCAGTGTCTGTGGTCCAAGAGTTAGGCTCTTCATCTTTCATGCGGCGGTGGAGCATCATTTTAATCCAGCATCTTAGTCTTTCTGCAAGTTGAGTCGGGCTCACTGGGTTGATATAAGAAGGTGTACCCAGGACATAACACGGTTTAAGCCTTGGTCTCTTGCAGACAGCTTTTCTAGCTCTCTTCCTCTTTTCCTACCACTACGACAGTTCCAATGGCCAATGCAGACGTTTTTCATTTTGAGCCTGTCTCTTTTTTCCCTGCACTTCTTTTTTGGCACCCCCTCTCTTTCCTCTCCTCCTTCTTCTCCTCCCCTCAGTCCTCAGCAACGATTCTGGAGAAAGTCTCCTCACAACCCATGCTGTTCTCATCACTGATTCCATGTGTACCCCTAGAGGGATGTAAAAAGGTTTCCTGAGAACAGAAAGGATTCAACTGATCGAAACAACGCCTATACGATCGCTCACATAGATTTTCTGGACAACACAAGAGCTTAAAAGAAGGCTTGTATTTGTAAACATTTCAATGACACCCTCATTTGAGAAAAGGACAAACTCCCTAGTTTCTGATTCTCTCTTTGGCTCAAAGCTTCCTGGGCACATTAGCTATCCAAAATAACTTCCAGAAGTGATCTGGTCAGTGATGCCCTAATCAACATACCACACATTATTTTAATATTGTTATTATCATTTTTTGGGGGTTTGCAAACTGCTGTTCAAATTACGAGATATTATGCCCTTAACTGAGAAGCTTAAAAGTCTAATCTGACATACCCTAAGAATACAAGTGTTGCTGAAAGGCAGCAATAAGAAAGAACCGGGAGTAATTGTAAAAAGAGTCTGGAGTAAAGGAGTGAAGAGCCCGGGGGTGTGGGCAGAAAGTGGAGATGAAAGAAGATGAAAGATGATGACTATAGAACAGGAAAGGAGGTGAAAGAAGAAGCGTTCGGCTAAGATTTTTTTAGGTCGCTATTAGGACTTGAACACGAGACCTATTGGATAAGAGGCGAACATGATTTTCCCAGATCATGAGAACCCATCCCCCCCCCCCCCCCGCCCCCAAACCCTTCCCCATGAAATTTACAGAAATTATTTAATACCCTACGTAGATATACATGCGGGTGAGCGGTAAGAATAAATTAGCCTCTATTCAGTTTTGAGCGTATCTTTTCAGTTCGCCATGTTAATTAAGTAGCATTAGCCTCACTGCCTCTGTAATTACTTCCCTTTTAATGTTTGCATCTTTTCAAAATGAAATAATAATTATATTTTCCATGAGAGTAATGCATCGTTGGCAAAGCGCTGAACTGTTGTACTACCCGGAAACATTTTATTTTGTTTTTAAGGGAGATAAATGTTTAAATTGTTTAAAAGGTACCCCCAATATGCAAATTTTATAGAATTGCAAAGTATATTAATAACATTGATATGATAACGATCTCGTGAAAATGGCAGAAATCGCATTTTCCAAACAAAACAAAAATAATGATCTTGGCATCTGTTTTGACACGAATGTGTCAATGTCGGTGGAGTAAATCATTTGATCAGCTGGATCAACTTTAGTGAACCGTTTGGTCATCATTACCATGTATACAGACCAAGAAACGTCATGCCGCAGACTCTACAATACCACAAGAAGCCTATTTACCAACCCAGGTCGAACCCTTGTCTGGCCCATGTCTTTGTACAAGGTCGTGTGTGTGTCTGTGTCAATATGTTTGTGTGTGTTGTGTGTGTGGGGGTGTGTGTGTGTGTGTGTGTGTGTGTGTGTGTGTGTGTGTGTGTGTGTGTGTGTGTGTGTTCGTGTAAGAGAGAGAGAGAGAGAGAGAGAGAGAGAGAGAGAGAGAGAGGCAGAGAGAAACAGACAGACTGACAGACACACATACACACAGAGGCAGAGGGAGAGTGATTATCCATGACCCTTTATTCTATATTTTCTTGTCATAAGGCAATGACATTAACATTAAAGACCACCCCCAAGCATCATTATTAAATAACAGGCTTATCTATTTGAAAAGCGAACGCTGATTGGAGGGGGGGGGGGGGTTGGGTCGTTAGGTCAGAGTGTGCACGAAATCAACCTGAACCAGAGAGTATTACTGTAAACTCTCTGCCTCAACCTGCTGGCAGGATGCTTTCGTACCAGCGTCGATCACATGACGCACAAGTGGGAGGCGGGAGGGGGGAGGAGAGGAGAGGGAGGAGGTTGGTCGAGTCCTTTTCCAGTCATGGCCTTCTGCACACGTGCGTCACGGAGCCGTGTGATACCTCCAGTCAGCATTATGCCGGTCCAAAATAATCATTGTGAATTAACGATTCGGTGCAGAGCGGTATCAAGGTATAAGAGTTGATGTACCAGAAGATAAGATGACAGCAATTCTGACCCGATGGGAATTTTTTTAAAGTGTCTCCGGCATGCTGGGAAGCCTTTTTTGCATGGTCCACAAAACACTATATATAGTAGTATATTGTGTTCAGTTGCTGTTTCATGCACCTGTCTCAATACAAAGATTTTATTTTATGTATCATCTGCCCCTCTTAGTTTCGAAATTTCTTTCCCTGTCAATCCATCAATGTTGGGTGTGTTTTGACAAGCGACAAGTTTTCCACAAATTAAGACAAATGCACACATAGTTACTGAACGTTGTCAAGTGGTTAAAAAAAACCTAATACACACCATAAGCGCAAACTGTACATGCATGTGAAAGCCACGACATACATATCATTATACGTATACACACAAGAACAGTTGTCTACACTGAAGTTAAACTAATAGGGTAATATGTTTTGGAATGGGACTGTTCATGTATTGCCCTATTTAATTTTTGTTTTATTGTTCCGTAAGTTCTAGTTCTGATAGGAACAAGTGCAGACACACAAATGGATACTTCAAAAAGACGCCAAACAAGATTACGGAGTTTAATTATTGGTTCCACTGCTTGTATTATCAAAAATTAGATACAAAGATGATCTATCATATACATAGTAGTGCACATTTAAGGGATGGATTTTTAGACAGTGCAAATCACACACACATTGAGGAATAGAAGTGTGAACAATGAAAACGTTAACGGTGTCAAAAACATGTACATAAAAACACTATGTCATGTTAATTTTTGTACTGCAGTGTAAGATCATGACACTGCCCCAACTTACTAGCCACCCGAATACAGTACACATTAATAGTTTTGAGTTAGCCGTAATCTTACTTCTACGTCTTATTACTGGAATCTGGAAATCGTGAATTAAAAGTTGAAATTAATATCAAATCTCCCTGCATCGCCCTCCCCCCTCCAAAAAACAAAAAGAAAAAGAAAAGAAAGAAAGAAAAAAGTCCTTGCGAATGAAATGAAGAATAGAAATAAAAATATACCTTCATGTACGCGTCTTTCGACTCAAATTAGATCACTTAGGAGGCGGGCTTCAACATTGTCTGTAAGAGCCAACTTAGGTAGAGAGGAATTATTACCCTAGCCGATAAACCGAAATATTCGATAACCCGACTCACGTCTCTTGCGTGCGACGGCGAAGCGTCAAACTGTTACACCAGAGACGCCGATAAAAATACCCTCCCCCACCCCCCGCCCCCCCATCCTCCTCCTTTCAATTACAAAAAAAACAAAAACAATAAAGAAAAAAACACAAGCTAGAACCATAAAAGTAGCAACAAAAAGGCTTTGTAGCAATAAAATCGGAAGACCTTAGGACTTAAGCATATTAAACCATTTCGAAACAACGAGTTTTGAAGAGATAAAAAAGGACAACCGAATTTGTTCTTATCTTTGAAGACAAGGAATAGAGAGGACGTGACAACTTTTCAATTTTATTACAAAGGCTTTGCTTTTTTTGTTGTTTTCAGTTGTCGTTTTGAAAACCTCCCTC